AAAACATGAATATCAACCAAAAGGAAACAAAATTCTTAACTACAACTTTATGACATTCGGCTTCAATAAAGAAAAGAAAAAGAAAACACACTTGGAGTGGAGAAAATCCAATTTTTTTATTTGAAAAAAACTTCAAAATACAAGACTTTTTTCTTCTTTTACTTCACACTCTCTCTGCCGACCTCCCTCTATTTTTGCCTTCGTTCACTCTTTTTTTTTTTTTCCCCAAACTTGCCAATTTTTCCTTTGGTTTTCTTTTCCCCCCTCCCTCAATTTTTTCGAATGCCCCATGTTTCCTCAAAAATCCTCTAGTGGCCTCGCACGTGTAAAATCTGGATGCGGGCGTGCCACTTACTTTGCTGAAAGTAAGAAAGAAGGACTTTCCCAACGACCCTCTCCTTCCTCACGGTCGACCTCTTTGTAGATGGCGGGAAGAACGTTGGATTAAAGTGAAATTTGTGCCTTCAGACGATTTGCAAGAAGGAGGGATACCTTCCTGCAGAATGGGTTACGAAATCTGCCTTGGACAACTCCAAGGACTTAAAACACTACCGTGACTTAAAATTAACAAATCCTAATTATTCTAAATTACCTGCAATTTAAACTATATTTCCAAGAAATAAATGTACCCAAATTAAATTAGGCATGCTTATGGTAAAATTAAAATGCTATTTATTGACAAATTTGGAAGTTAAATTACTGCAGAATTGTAAATTTAACCCTAATTAGCACTAAAATAAAACGTGAACAGTGAATAAATTAAAGAAATTGAAGTTGGAAAGAAGCATGAAAGCCACACAAGTAATCATTGAAGCAATGCTACTTAAAATAAACACTAAATTAATTACAAATAAAAAATGAACAGTACCTAGAAGGAACTTGAAATGTTGAAATTCATTGCATGAAGAGAAACTAATATAGCAAGTACATAAATTAAATTGTCTACTGAAATGATGAAGAACAACCTAATTATAATGGAATCTGTGCTGAAATTTGAAATCTAGAAGCAGATTGCAGAGAAAATAAAGTCTGAAAATTTGCAAATGTTTGAGTAGGGCTGACCGTGTGTTCTTCCTCCCAAAATTTCCTTTTTGTTCTTCTTGTGCCGGGGCAGTACCTTTCACTTTCTGCAGTTACTCAATCATGGGTGGTTTTTTGAAATAGTGGGACACCTCACCTTTTGACCTAGTCTAATCCCCTTTTAGATTTCACCACCTGTACTCTTATAAGATAAAACCCCCTTTTTAATTGTGATCTTCTCCTATTTTCCAGCTCCTATTATCCCTTTATGTATCAAGAAGATAATTACTCCATAAAAAATTATCTTTACCTCTTTTATTTTGCCAACACAACTGTTGATCTGTCCTGGGGCCCAGAATCCGAATCTGACATGGCTCAAATTCATCCAACCAATAAAAAATATTTTACATGTGGCATTAATTTAAAATTTTGTAATTTATGATGTAAACAATGCCCCGACATTTGGTTTTATAAAGATAAATCTAAGTGTTTTAATTAAATAAATTGTCTCCCACACCATAATTACTTATGCCACATGTCAAATTCCCTTTAAAAGCAACTTCACAAATATCTCCTAGAGCAATTTTCTAGATAAACCCCAGCCACTCCTTTTCAAAATTCATTTAATTTTCAAATCCAAAAAGGTAAGGAAAAGTCAAACTTACTTTAATCCTTTCCTTTTCCTTTGGTCATCGCCGGTTGCCTCTTTTTCCTTCTTTTTTATTATTTGCAAATAGAAAGGAAAAACTAATTTACTTTTACCTTTCATCTTCCCCGGTACCACACTGCATCACTGTCGACTTTTTCCTTCCATTTTTGCCTTGCTTTACCGCCGGCTGCTGCTCCTTTTTTTTTTTATTCACCAGACAGCTTCCTCCATATTTACATACCTTTTAACCTTTAAACTTCTTCCAGTCACTGCCGGCTTCTTTCTTTCATTTTTTTTTATTTGCAAATAGAAAGAAAAAGCCAATTTACTTTTACCTTTCATCTTCCCTGGTACCACATCACTGCATCATTGCCGGCTTCTTTTTTTTTTTTTCTTTTCCTCTTTTCTCTTGCTTTACCGCCGGCTGCTTCTCTTTTTTTTTTTTAATCACCGACTAGCTTCCTCCATTTTTACATTTCTTTTAACTTTTAAACTTCCAAAAAATCCCTAAAAATGGGGGCTTTTTGAAAATCAAAAGTCAAAACCTCCTTTATTTTTTCTTCTTTTTCTTCCTCCAATCATTGCCGGCTTTTTTCCCCTTTGCTTTTCTTCACCCAGATCTGCTCCATTCATGGCCAACGACCCACAAGAACAGCCTTCACACACCGAATCTACTGCTACCATGGCTAGAACCAAGTCTTTTCATCCTAAGAAGCCGCCTCCTGCAGATCTAGTGAGCCTCTTCCAAACCAAAAACCTCCAAAATGAACTCAAACAAATTCTTCAACACCATAAAATAAGCCATTTAGATCAAATGTTTGTTCCCCACATGAACTCTCAAATTTTGGGTCCCTTTTTGCTTGCTTATCTGTATAGAAGCTGCCAGGATGTCACGGCCTACCCTCTAGGTAGTAGTGGTGGGCCACTTTGGGTGTTGTAGTTGTGACTTTATTCCTATTTTTCAGCACTTGCTCTTGTTTTATCTGTTGTTTTAGGTCGAGATTTGCTCACCGATGGCTTCATGTTTAGAGATGCCGCGGAGAATAAGAAAAGTTTTGAAGAGTGTTTCAGGTTTTTTTGCTTCCCTTCCAATCAACCGACCTGATGTAGATTTCGCTGTCCTCCTCAACAGATCTCACGGCCCTTCATGGTACAAGGCCGACTTCCAGTCTCCAGATTTCAGAGCATTCTAGTCTGTCTGTGTGACTTCAAGAGATTTGTTTGTGGGTTGCAATCTGACAGTCCTCAATTCCAGATGTGGGGTGGAATTGTATGCACCAAACCAATTCTACCAGCGGCTTGGATACTGCCAAGACATTCCATTCCTGCCATTGTTTTTGTTCAACCACAACTATCCTCTTCGGTTTGTGATAGGAGAATCAGATACCATAACCTCCACTCTTGCCAAAATCAACCAAATCCTACAAACCATGATTCTGCCAGATCCACCATTCCAACCGAGCTGCACTTCCTCTTATAAAACCTTGGTGGCAAGGATACTTTCAACCTCGGTTTCTAGAGTTTTAGATGACATCTCTACTCTAGTCCCTCTGCCACTCACTAAGAAATCATTTCTGCTGAGTCTTCAAAGGAGTGTACCCCCTCCAAGCAACAAAGAACTGGAGGTAAATCTGCTTTGGCTTGTAACTTCGTGAAATACTCTTTGCTAACCTTTTTTTCTTTCCATTTTTTTTTCTTTTTTTTTCTTTTAGGAATTAAGAGGTCAACAGTGAAACCTGCAGCTGCCAAGAAGCTCATCAAATCTGCCCCCCCATCAGAATCCACTTCTGCCACGGAAACCCAGACTCCTCCTAACAAAGCAAAAGATGTTTCTCCCAAGTCAGACCAAGTTGAAGAAAAAATTACTGCAAGTGATGAAGGTGATTCTGCCACCATCCCTACGAAATCTAGCAACGGTTCTTCTCCAGCCACAAAGGTTAGGGGTTCTAGATTCTCTTTGCGCATAGCTAACAAAAGCTTTAAAACAGTTAGACAGAATGAACTTATCGATCTAAGCCCAGACAAAGAGAATACCCCTACACCCGTAGCCTCTCCTGTTAGGCATGTTCATGTTGATGACATTGAGGTTGTTTTACTGTTCTGAAATCTGCTTAAATCTTGAAATCTGTCACCATATCTGCTAGTTGCTATTTTTGATCTTTTATCCCCACATTTTGTAGAGTGTTGCTGCTGATGTGTCCATGATTGATGATGATTTGGAGAATGAACTTCTTGCCCAGCTGAACATGTTGATGGATCCTCCAGCTAAATCTGGATCTGCCACAGATAGTAAAGGGAAGGCTGTTGCTGAAGAAACGAATTTCGATATCAATCTCCCTACCCAGGAGCAGATTAGCTTTGCCATTATGACCATGCAAGAGCTCCTTGATGGTGATCCTTCTCATTTCTGCAAAGTGCCAGACCAGCCAGCCGCTTTTGAAGCGGCTTAGATCCTTAGTCGAGCTCCACAATTATCATCTACTCAACAA